TGTGTGTGTATATATATATATATATATATATATATATATATATACACACACATACATATAAACATATATATAAAAAGTTTGTGTGTGTGTTTTACTGAATTTTGAACTTGTAGTTGTATCGGCAATTATTACTAATTTCCCTGATGCTTTTCTGCAAAGCAACTTACAGTTCGGGGAAGGGCTACAGTTTATGTGCGTTCCCTGGGATTTGAACCCACAACCTTTGCATTATTAGCACAATGCTCTACTTGTTAAAGTGAATTCCCCAATCAGTGTTTTATATCTTACTCTTCAGATATAATTGTTTAATTGAATCATTGATCACCGGCCATTTATTTACTCTATCTTCACACCAGAAGAGGAATGACTCTCTCTGTTGCGGGCTGAGAGATGGAGGGCTGACTGAAAACCCCTGAGCAGCTGCTTTCTTGGGGCTTGAGGAATGGGTCTGATCCACATGGAGATTGCAGTTCCAGCCCAAAACAAGCGGGGGGTGGGAAGGACAGCTACTCCAGGCAGGAGCATCATGGCGGGTCCATAGGGGGCTTTCAAGAAGCACCAAGGGTGTCTGTCAGAAGTTGGTGGTCATCCTCTGCAGACTGTGGGAGAAGCTTGTGACTCTGTACTGCCTCTGCTCCTCGCTCTCCCTTTATTGTGGCATGTGTGTGTCTCCCAGCACTGGCTGCTCCTCCTCGTTGGTTGCCATCTGTGCAGTTAACATTGCTCCCGCAGTGCACCTGGGCCAGTGCTCTCTAGGGGCACTGTGATGGGCACCCCTGTCGAGGTGACTATGCCATCACACCTGTCAGTCAGTCAGATGTAGCTGCGTCTTTTGGCCGAAAACGTGTCGTTGGACTTGCGTGTAAGCCTTGTATATCGGGTGATAATGTTCTTGTTACATCTTTCTTCCTCACCAGCTACTTGAATGACCTGGAGCGGATAGCCAGGCCGGACTACATCCCCACGCAGCAGGATGTGCTTCGGACAAGAGTTAAGACTACTGGCATTGTGGAGACCCACTTCACCTTCAAAGATCTGCACTTCAAGTGAGTCGGCCAGTTTACCGTCTCCCTCAGTCTCTAGACATCACTCACTCGCTCTGCATGTTTGTGCATGTCTGATGCACAGTCAAGGCCGTGTTCCTAATCTTTTCTGCCATCCACCATTTATCGTTCACTCGGGGGGTGTTTTATCAGCACTGATCCTTCCATCTTAATCCCAGCCTTAGTTTTTCAGTTTTCCACAATGTGACTCAAAGGGGCAACTAGTCCAGATGTCATACAGCTGCTCATAGGTAGCAGACAAACACCTGCAGCTGAACTCCTATTTTCATCTGGAAGGGTTATTGAACTGTGGACCATGAGGTGATCTGCAGCAGTGATCTGCATGAGTACCTGTCAGATTTTCTTAAGACTCCACTGTGGAGTTTTTTGAAGTTTAAACTATTATAATACCATCTTATAGCTTTCCTTACCATTTTGTAATTAGAATCTCGGCAAACTAATTAAAGCCTTGTTCCTTCAAAGATTTCCAGATGTGATTAGTGCAGAATATGCCGTTCTCTTTTCAATCGATCAATAAAATAGATAAGTTTGAGAGCCAAGAAATTTGTCATCATTGGCATATAACATTAATATTGTGTTATTATTATGTTTGGCTCCACCAAACCCCATGAATGCAGCAACTGTCAATGGAGACAAGTTTGAACATTTTCCTGGGATCACACACAAATCCATCCATCCAGACAGAAAGAAGAAAATTACTCCAAAAAAGTCCTTTGTTTTGTCAGTGTGAATCACTTTCAACAACAATTCGTCAGCCTTGAGACAATTCATTGGGAAAGATGCGGATTTATTCTAACAAACCAAATCTATTGGAATGTGTCTTTCTCTGCAGACATTAGTTCCAGAGGCTGAAGCTACTGTATCATTCATTAGAAGCGATGTGTTGCATGCTTGTTTGTATGGAGGGTATTTTATTTGCTCAAAAAAACCTTGGAGCCACTTTACCGACAGGCTGTCTATGTGTGGTTATCCATCTGCCTTACTTGTTTGCATAAACAGTCACTTTTTGTCCTGATTTCATCTGACAAGGAAACACAAGTCGTTTCTCATTTACCTGCTGCAGCGGGTAAATTGAAGTAGCTGTCAACAAGCCTGGCGACTCCATTTCCATTTCACGCCCCACTTGTCGTCGTCCTTTTACGCTGCCCCCTTGAATTTGTCGATTCTTCATTTTGGATTGAAGGAAACTGAATGGTAATGTGTCTAAGAAGGATCCTGACAGATGCAATGAATAGTTTGGGAATTTGAACAGTGGGGCTTCTTTTTTGTCCAATTATATCATAGGCTTTACTTTGGAATGTTTGGAAACGAGTATGTTACCAGTGATTTGCAGTTTGGGTTTCCAGTGAATGGCAGAGGGCTGTAAAAGCCACTGTATCAGGCGACGTATGGAGCGTGGCATTGGGGCAGCATTCCCTACTCTGACTAATGCCAGACATGCACACTGGCATTTTATCTGCTTGGCACATGCAAACCGTGGTACAAGGGCAACTCTGAACAATATTCCTCTGTGACACAGATTGTTTATTCCCTTTATACCAGATGTCTGTCGCTTTAAATATATAAATAATACAGAAGCATTCGACGTCAAAACCGTCTTTCCGCATTTTCATGCTTCTTACTGTCCAACTGTAACCATGACAACGGTAACACAACCATTAAACCATGACAAGGTCCGTGTTGGCAGTGCTGCACTTACATTGAGATGACTGGTCGGTGGCCAGCAGTGAGAGACTGGATTGTAGGTATATTATTATTTTGGACATTTTCAAATTGCCTGTCGAGTTGAGATTTTCTGGGTCTTAATGTCTTGGGTCTGCCATGTCCAGTTGAAGTGTAATGGCGATCTGAATAAAAAAGAATTAAGTAACACTGAAGTGGAACCAGGGTGCTGGCAGCATTTACTGCTCTGGGTAACATCAATTTCACCAGGAGGTTTTCTTCAGAGGGAGATAAGCTTCATCCAAGACATTGAAAGGCACGCTGGCAGGTGTCTCCTGTATTATCCTCTGGAAGAAGTCCTATTTTTGGACAATATGTGAGCGGCTCCTTTTTAGCATCCCAGCATCCTGTAACTGCACTGGCTTTCCTGCAATGGGCTTCTGTCACAGCTGAGGATCTATAATGGATCTGTTTGTTCTGCTTCAATCTCTGAGCGTCCTCATGAAATTTTAATACGCAAGTGTCTGTTGAATGTGGCTCAACCTCAATCTTCCTTTCCTCCACCCCTTGCTTTCAGTCTTCCCCTCTCATTTTATGTGTGCATTTTTTCCCCTTGCGGTGTTTTCTGTTTGGGTTACACTCTAGCAGAAAAAGCAACACACACATCCACAAATTGCTTGCAAAAAAGATATGCTTGTTAAAGTCTGCCTACCTACCTTCTCGATATAACACATAACTTTCTTCTGTTCTACTGAGTTTTTATTAGCCTGTTTGATGAATGCTTTATCTTTCTGCTTTATTGTTCCTGTTGATGCTGTTCTAAGCAAAGCAAAACAACAGATTTCTGGTTCTTGCGCAAAAGGTACTGCAGAAGAACTTGCTGGTACCCTGTCTCTTGGCACAGACAAATATTTGCTCTTGTGGCTGCACATGCAACACTGAAGTTCTACCAAAACTCAAAATTGTTCTTCCAGGAGAGCAAAAAGAAGCAGGATGCTAAAATGTGCCAACTAAAAAAAAGTCATAAAATCACCTCAGTATTGAGAAAAGCGCTTCCTCCCATCCCTGATGCCCCGTTCTTACAGGATGTTTGATGTGGGTGGCCAGCGCTCTGAGAGGAAGAAGTGGATCCACTGCTTCGAGGGAGTGACAGCCATCATTTTCTGTGTGGCCCTCAGTGCTTATGACCTGGTTCTTGCTGAGGATGAGGAGATGGTAATAACTGCCAGACCTTTTTCTATCTACACTAAATAATTACATTCCTACCACCCTGTACAGAACTTTCCCACCATTTTGACTGTCATAAATGACTCCTACTTCTGCTTTAAATGTAATATGCAGATTCTCCGCAGTGAAATAACTGCAACCTCTCTTTAATCACACTGGGTTTGTTTGACTTAATAACTGGAGTGGAAATATTAATATATGACTCATCCACTGTTAGCACAGCTTGCCATTTCCAAGTGTAAAATTACAAGAATATTTCAAAGATGACTAAATGCTTATTTACTCAGATGTAAGCTTATTTTTCTCTGTAGTCAGATAATACATATTAGCAAGCAGTCATTTTATAAAAAAACTCTCCTAAAACATCTTCACTGGAAATTTTGTTTGTACTGTATGTGTTCTATATAAATGAATAGTGCCTACTAATGGTGAAATGTGGAAATACCTTCATTCAGGCCATTATGTTTGTTTATCTTTAATATATCTTCACCTCCCCCCACTCCCTCAATCTAGAACCGCATGCACGAGAGCATGAAACTCTTTGACAGCATCTGCAACAACAAATGGTTCACAGAGACATCCATCATCCTCTTCCTCAACAAGAAGGACCTATTTGAGGAAAAGATCACCCGTAGCCCACTGACCATCTGCTTCCCAGAGTACCCAGGTACTGGAGGAGAAATCCAAGTCATTTCGTTTGCATTTGCAGCTTCATTCGTAGAAGCATTATCTTATTAGATACGCAAAAAAGACTTTGTTTATAAAACACATTCAATTTGTACTGTCCAGTACTTTCTCATCAAACACAAATATTACCAGCATGGTATTTGCAAACTTATACAATGATGTAGTGTAATATGTACTCTGAGCAATCGTTTCTTAATTTGCTTAATTAAGAAACAGATGACAGATTAGCTTCACATGCTGAATGTGTAGAGGACAGCGACACCTCCCTAAACGTCTAATTGCACAAGACTCGTTTAATTTCAGGCACTTTGGGCTGAACAAAGTCCCACGTAGCTGTCTTGCATTTGTCTTGAATGTTTTTGGATATTACCAATTTGTTTCAGATAGAAAATCAAAGGTTCAGGTCTCGTGTTTGTAATATAATTCATACCTAAATTTATTGAATGAAAATTTGCCATGATTTGTGTTTCTATGTGCTGTTCGGATCATTTTTCATCCAACGTGTTTATTCCTGTCTTCTAGGGGCCAACAAATACGACGAAGCTGCCAGCTATATCCAGACCAAGTTTGAGGACCTAAACAAGAAGAAGGACACCAAGGAGATCTACACTCACTTCACCTGCGCTACTGACACCAAGAATGTGCAGTTTGTCTTTGATGCCGTTACTGATGTGATCATCAAGAACAACCTGAAGGACTGTGGCCTCTTCTAAAGTGAGTATAGACCAGGTGCTTGTGCAAGCCGGCACACTCGCACTAAACCACAAAATGTCTTCGAAAGAAACCGGAAGGAGCTTTTGGTAAATCCCTTTGGTGTATAGTTTATGTACTAATATCATTAATTAAAATGTTTAAAAATGTCAAATTGCTAAACTAAAATGCACTATGCCACAAGCTCCATTGCATTTCAGGAAACACTCTTCAGCATTTACAACAGAAGGACTAAACTAAGAGGAACACAAATAGCCTTGGACACCACACACACACACACACACACACACACACACACACATACACATACACACACACACACACACACATACACATACACACACACACACACACACATACACATACACATACACACACACACACACACATACACATACACATACATGTACCTTAAAGTAATATGAAATATAGCTTAGCTAAATTACATTCATACATACATTCGATTTTCCTGTCCGAATGCTTGCACAACTTTACTTGCCACAACAATAGCCATCTTATTTATTCCTGATTAGGGACAGCTGGCTGCCTAACTTTCTGCATCATCTTCAGCAGGATGCTCCTTTGTAACAAAACCACGTCACAGAGGATGTGTTACTCCATACACCAAAACACGCCTCTGGTGTGATTACACTGTTTTTAATCTACTTGAAGACTTAATCTTAACTAAAGAAATATTTGTGGATTTTTATGCATATCATAACTCCAACAAAAATCAATATCAGACTGACCATAAAAAGACAGGTGTCCACACTCAACTAGGGAAACATTTCCACAAATGTATATTGGGTATGACCATGATTGTTTACCTGGTGCAGTGGTCAGTTACCGTTGTCCATTAAGTTGAAAGGCTGAGTGCAAATTTATACACACCAATTACGCACTAACCTGCCTTCAGGTTAATGGAGAGGTTAACCGAGTATAATGAATACTGCTCATTGCAGAGTCATGGGAGTTAGATTAATATGCTCTTACCGGATATTCAATTTCTCTCTCTCTCTCTCTCTCCTAGGACACATTTCATACGAGCAGAAGGGAGATCCGACACACCATGACTGCACTGGTCAACGACGATTCCTATGTTCACGTGCTTTTTAATTTTTTTTCTTTTTTTCATTTTAATAAAACAGACTGAGCACCTGAAAGCATTGTCAGATGTCAACAATCACTGATTCCCCAAATATTGCATTTTTCTCTTCCCGTGTTGTCTTTTTTTTTTTCCTTTATATGTTGAATATTTAATTTTAATGGGGATTCATATTATTATTGACAATTTTTTTTTCCGTCTTGGTCCATACTGCAGCAGTTCAGTGGTTTTTTTTTTTTTTTTTTAATTAACAGAGGCAAAAAGTACTTTTTATATATATAAATGCATTTGCTTTACTTCAAGATCGAAATTTATGAAAAATCTAATTGCATAAAATTTATTTTTAAGACAACTGTGGGCATCCATTAAAATTAGATAAATAAAAATAAAGTGCTTTATATTGTTTACACAAAGTCCAGATTGTTAGCTGAACTGCATATTGTACTGCATGTCTAATGATAGCTGACTGTATTAACTCTGTAATGGCACAAAATGTAACATTCCTCCAGAAAAATAATAAAACTACAAAAAGAATCTTCGCACCAGGGAAAAGAGATTTTAACAGATATTTAAAATATATGTGTACCTAATTTTCCTTTTTATTGTTCAATATAATGTCTTTGGCAGTATGTTTTGTGCCTTCTGTTTACATTTTACATAGGTTTGTTTTATGAGTAGAGTTGACTTAATTCACCTTCAGCCGTCGTCTTTGATCTGTTTACATCTTAGCTTTATATCAGTAGTTGTCGTCTTAATTCACATTCGGTCCATTTCTATCTTCTGTGTTCTTCACATGACTGAAAAAAACATGCTAAAATAGTAATTAAGAGACACAATCTAACAAAAGTGTCTTTTGGTAAAAGTTAATGATTTTAATTTAAATAAAGCTGTGTCACTAGCGAGGTCTTGTTTGGTTATTTAAATTATATATATATATATATATATATACAGTATTTATACAC